TAAATCTTCTCACATAGTTTAAGTTCCGTTATTTTAAACTTAGAGCTACAATAAATCAAAACCTTCAACTTGCAACATCTGATTATATATTTTTCCCAATTTAAACATCTCATTATCTCTGCTCCCTATAACATTCCCTATATCTCTGTCATCAAACTTCTTGTTTAATTAGTGCTCATGCTGCCGTCATACTCCTTGTTTAGTTTGAGAAATTTCCAGGACCATGTTAACAGCATCTTACAGTACTCCTCAAACTTGCCTGCATCAATTTTACTTTTTAATGATTTCATATATGAATGTTGCTTGATTTTATTTATTTGGAATACAACAGATTGTTGTCAAAAAATTACCGAGTCTTCAAAAACTTAGGAATCTCCATTTGTGTAGGGGCATTATTTTAGTGTACATATTTGTTCTTCTCTACCTACATCACATCTGATTGTTGAAAGAAAGGGAAAGAAAGTTATCAAATTTAAAATGTTTTGTCACATGTATTCTTGTTGTGTTCCTTAAATGAACAATAATTATTTTCAACTAAAAGAAACCTTGTGAATATTGTATAGACTTCTCTAATCTGAATTTAGATTTTGTTCTCCCTGAGGCTGTTTTTCTCGTCAAATACTAGCTACTTTGATTATTGGATTTAAATGTCCACTTAACAAAGCCCATTTATTTTTATTTTTCTTCCTTCACTACAACCCACTAATTTTACTAAACACTTTTTGTTTTTGTTTTCTTTTTCTGAGCAACAATAAAATGTATTTGGAACTTGTAGCATTCTTTTGTGGCATATCAACCTTAAGCACAGTAAATCAATTAATCCAATTTCTTTCAAATATTAAACTTACCTGCAATATGAAGTTCCTCAGTCATAATGCTACATTTTAGTCGTATTTAGGTGGTTTTATTAAACATAATATTCTGGTCACTGAATTGCCATCCTTTGTCTTACTATACAAGTCCATACTATTATTCCTTTAACTTCTCATCTTTCTTCTCTCATAAAATCTGACCATAACATCTTTCAACTTCATTTTCTTCCAGGGGAACAAAGTTCAAGCTACACTATTCGACAATGCCATCACAGCTTTCGAAGACACCTTACTACCACAAAAAACATACCTCATCTCTAATGCACAAGTTAAAGAAACTGATAAAAATTATGCTGCCCAACTTGGTAACATTCGATGGA